CGGGCGCGACCCTCCTCCTGCCGCGGCCTCGCCCGCCTTGCACCTCTGCGAGCTGCCCATCTGCTCGCCGAGGGTCGCGGCCGACAACGCTCGAGTAACCGGAGTGCCTCCTTGTCCCCCGGTGATGCGGTTTCCAGGACTCCCGGGGGACCCGTCGTGCTGGCCGTCAGCGTCGGGCGGCGGTTGTGTAACAAGCTCTGCCCTAGTTATCTCTTTGTGAGGCCGGGAGCCTTTCATGGGCGAGCGCTTTAAGGTGTCGTGAGAGCTTGTGCGAGGAAGCCCATTGGCACGGCCCAGTCCCCAGCTCCCAAAGGGAGAAGTGTTGCTGGCCTGAGACCAGCTGCTTTTAAATAAGCCACCCGCCGATCCTCGTGTTACCCAGGTGGAGCTCGTTGAAGACAAATCCTCCTGTACCTGTTAGTTTAAAGCAAGAACAGTCTTTGATAAATACCATTGCTGTCTTCTAAGGACGCTGCGCGCCCCTGTTGTTAAGAGGATTTCTTTGTTCTGTCTTTGATGTGTGGTGGGTTCAGGCAAGTCTGCAGCACGTCGGCGAAAGGTGGGTTATGAGAAGAACGGATTTTAACGTTGGAGATGGTAGATAGGTTTTATTTATTTTTAAAATTCCGTAACATTTAATATATCAATAAACAGGAAAGCCGCTTGGTTACTTTTTGATTCTGTGAGCTCTACTTAGTAGAAAATGTTCATAATAGGAGGTGGTGTGAATGTTCCTGTTTTGTTGGCTGTGGTCCTGTTTTCCAAGAGGATAAAAGATGTATGCAAAACCTAGCTTGCTTATCTAGCGTTTCTGCTGGGAGTGTGGACTACAGTAGAGGAATTTATGGTCTTTTTATGAAGATGGTAACTCCAGATTTCTTTAAGCAAACCCCGATGGCAGGGATCTTGTCTTTGTTCACCGGCTCCTGGCACGGTGCACCAGTGCATCAGGACAGTGGATGCTACCGGAATGGCTTCAAATCTATCCCAGCCTTGGCACTTAAATAGCTGTTAATGGCTGAATTATTTTATGTAACTTAACTTCTGTGTGTTTCTTCTCCTATTCGTGTTCTTTCTTTTAACCTTTTTGTACTTACAGTATCACTGACTTCAAATTGCTGATGATTTAACTAATGTCTGCGTCTAATGGTAGTTAACAGTTCACCACTGCTCAGACTTGTCGAGGCCTCTCCCACTCACCTAAGCCTATGTATTTTCATTTTGGACTGTAACATTGTAAAGCATTACCTCATTCCTTAAATGGATAGGATGCAGCTGGTTTACAGCATCAGCTGTTTACTTCAAGAGGAGAAAATTGTCTGAAACTGTATGTTTAGCTCTCTGCTTTTAAAAATTGATTCACCTATGTACATTTTTTAGACTTAACTTTACAGCATAGTAACATTAATACAATTACTAAATTACAGTTATTGAAAAACGAAGAGTGTGTTACTGAGTAGGAAGGGGGAAGCGGTCTTTGATGAGCGACCAGGGATCTCTGCCATAATGTTTAACTGACCTTAACCTGTCAGGTTTTCCTTTTATTGCTGGCTTTGAATATGATTTAAATTATTCTCCAGTCACACTTGTATCAGCTTCTGGAATTCTACATCTTTCCTAAGATACACAGTTTCATTTGCAGATGATTTACATTGTTTATACTTTATTATTCTGTCTAACATTATAATAGAGGAAAGACATCACCAAGAATGACAGGGGAAGTTGATGGGAATTGGCAAAAACAGAAACTGGTCTGAGCCAGAGGAGGAATGTTTGAGTGAGCACCAATTTTTAAGTGTTCTTATTTTTAGTAAATATTTTGTTTTATGACTTTTTTTGAGGGGAGGTGTCTTTTTGAGACAGGTTTTTACAATGCAGTTCAGGCTGGCCTTAAGCTCACTTTGTAGTCCAGGCTGGGATGGAACTCACAGCAATCCTCCTGCCTCAGCATCCTGAGTGCTGGGATTACAAGTGTATGCCACTATGTCCAGCCCTATTTTATGACTATTTTTGCTTCCCCTTATAATTTCATTGTATTGGAGATCAGGATAATGAATGCCTGGGACCCTCCACATACACTCAGAAATATTCCTTCAAGAATTTGAGATTACTTTGAAATTAGCATACCTCAATTCCAGTCTCTGCCCTACCACTGATTTATTCTGTGATCTTAGATAACATGATTTAGGTTATTTCATCTCTCCTGGTTGTTTTAGTCCATTTTAGTTTGCTATAATAAATACTCAAGGTTGAGCAATTTATAAAGAAAAGAGGCTTATTAGTGTCCTTATTCTGGAGATTCAAGAGCATGGCTAGCATCTGTGTGTCCTCTGATGAGGGCCACATGCTGCTCCGTGAAAGCCGGAAGGGAATAAAGGGTACAGAAGAGAGCCTTGTGTGTGAGAGAGATAGAGCAAGTAAAAGACTGAGGGAGATGCCAGGCTCACTTTACAGTAACCCAGTCAGGTTAATTAAACCACTCTGTGGGAAGTACATTAATCCTTCATGAAGGTGGAGCCCCCATAACCTAATTACCTCTTGAGCTAAATTTAATTGCCAGTGTATATGAGTTTGAACATGACTTTTAGTGAGGACAAACTAATCCAGACCATAGCAGTAGTGTGGTGAGCAGTTCTGTACAGAGGCAAAGAATAGGTTTTGCAGAGCCACCAGGTTTAGCTTTTTGTTTTTGTTATTTTGAGACAGGGTCTTACCTTTGTAGTCCAGGCTGACCTCAAACTCGCAGTAATCCTCCTGCCCCATCTGCCCCATCTTCCCAAGTGCTGGGATTACAGACATGTGCAGCACATCCAGCTAGCTTTAGCTTTTGTGGAGCTTTTTCCTGCATCCTTTTTGTCATTTTTTAGCCTAGGGGGTGAGGTGCGTGGAGAGGACTACTACAAAAGTTTATTAAGTAAAAGGTTTAGTATGAAAATGTAAATGATTGATTTTTATAGCATAGGGAAACAGCCTTTTTGGAGAAGGGAACGTGAATTTCTTTGCTGAACAGCCATTGCATAAACTCATTCCAAGGCTTCTATCATGATGATACTGCTTCCACATACTGTATTACCACCATGCCCATATTCTGTTGCCCCAACTTGCCATCTCCACGCTTTCTTCTATCACTAGATTCATAAAGGGATGAAATTGTTGCAATATCCCTTGGATATACCTGCCACCATTTAATTCTAATAACTTTGTTCATACATTTTTTTTCGTCTCAGGAGAGTGAGCGTTGCTCATGGTATCTACTAGTAGGGCTCTGAGATACTATTGCCTTTTGTTTTTAAGTAAGCTTTTCAGTGAAGTATAGAATACATGTTAGCTCAATGGATTATTAAACAGTGAACAATAGGAAGAGAACATGACCAGTATACAAGAGGACCCCCATCCAGCCCTTCTGAGTCACCGCCCTCTTACAGTAACTACTATTCTATTGCCATGGATTCATGTTTGTAAATAAACAGAAGTGAAATCGTACAGTATAGTCTTGCACTTCTTTCTTTTTTCTTTCTGTACTGGGTATTGAACCCAGGCCTTCACTTCTAGCCCCAGGCTGTTTTTAATTTTTTTGTTTGTTTGTTTTTTACTATGAAACAGAATATCACTAAATTGCCCAAGTGGCACAAACTTGTAATCCTTCTGCCTCCACCTTTCAGAGTGCTGGGGTTACAGGCATGTGTTTCCCCACCCAACTGTTTCCCTAACTTTTTGTTTGGATGAATACTATTCTCTGATATCCTAGAGAGGCTCTGTGAGACAGGGCTGGATCATAGTCAATACTTTATTATGCAGATGCTGTACCCTTCTTTTGTGTTAATGAATCCAGTTGTCCCTTAACATTTGAGGGGCATGTTTTCAGACCTTCGTGAGTACCAGTATAGTTCACAGTCTCTCCGCATTAAATGAGTAAAGGCATAATTGGAATTTTTATATTATTTTTGTTTTTGAGACAAGGTCTTACCATGTAGTTCAGGTTGGCCTTGAACTCATGATCCTCCTGCCTGAGCCACCCAAGTGCTGGATTACAGGCGTGTGTGCCCCCACACCGGGCAAGACTTAATTAGAATTTAAAAGCTATGTTAAAGCCTGAATTGAGAATTATAAAAGGACCACAAAGGTGATTGATGATTAAATAGGCTGTATAGTCAGATGGGCTTATTTGGTAGCTAAAATGATTTTGGGTCTGCACACTTATCTGTCCAAGACTGTAAATTACAACATATCATTATCTTTTGGGTCTCTTGTGATAAACTGAACCTTCAGAGTTAAACTCTAAATAACAATAACATTTCTTGAGCACTTACTCTGTACCAGTTACTCCACAAAGTATTTATACCTTTGTGTTGTTTAATTCGCATTCCCCCATTGGCAACTCCCATCACCCAGGCCTCCCTGTTCTGAAGTATACATTTTCATACTTAATGGTTACATTCAGCTTATCTTTTTTTCATCCCCTTTCCTTCCTCTACTTATCCCTTCATCTCTTGATCCCTTTTCCATCTGCAAAGATCTATCTCCCTGTATCCTATTATCTATTTTTATTTTTTTATTTTGTTTTTACTTTAGGTTTCTCATAAGAAACCACACGATATTTTTAGCTTGTGTGTCTCATTTATTTCACTTAACGTTATGACACCTTCCTAGTTTTTTTCAGTTTTCATTTTCTATTAGTACATGTTTGCGTTACATAATGTGTTCGGTGTGGGGGTGGTATGCATACATAACACATCTGTTTTTCATCCTCTTTTCCTCCACTCCCCACATCTCTTAATCTCCTTCTCATTTGTGAAGATCTATCTCCCTACTTCCTATAATCTTTTATTTTACTCTTTATATTTTGGGTTTCTCATATAAAAAAAAAAAAAAACCCACGTGATATTCAAGCTTGTATGTCTGATTTATTTCACTTAATATTGAGGTCTTGGTGCATCCATTTTCTTGCAGTTATCTTTATGGCAGAGCAGTACTCCATTGTGTATAAGCACCACATTTTCTTTTCTCATTCGTCTTCCAGGGTTTAGCCCTTAAGAATTGTGCTGCTAGAAACATGGGTGTGCATGTACACTGTAATATGATGACTTTAACTCTTTTGGGAAGATACCAGGAAAGGGAATAGCTGAGTCAAATAGAACGTCTAGTTTTAGTTTTTTGAGGACTCTCTATATTGTTTCCATTGTGGCTGTAGTAGCTTACATTTCCACCAACAGCATAGAACCTTTCTGTTCTTAACTCTCTTCTCTTTTTGTCTATCTAGGTTAGGCACTCTTGGTCTTCTCATCACAGTTTTTCCAAGATCCAAGCTTTCTTGACCTTCTATCCTTTTTTCATGTCCATCTGGCAGAACTTTAGCATTAATAACTATTCACCTTTTTTGTGCCAAATTTCCAAGCATAGCTGGAAAATGTTCCATTATTGTTCTGTCATTATTGGCCTGGTAAATCCTTGGCCACTGTCTTGGTTACGTTTCTCTCATTGCTGAGAAAAAATAACTAACCCCCAAATTAAGGAAGGAAAGGTTTATCTAGCTTACAGTTTGTGGAGGTTTCAGTCCATACTTGGCTGGCTCTGAGGCAGAGGGCAACAGTTCATGGCAACGAAAGATAGCAAAGCAACAAGAGCAAAAGGGGGGAATGGCAGAGAAGAGCAAGCCTTTTTCCCTCCCTTATATTGTAAGCAGGCTACCCCACCCAGGAGGCCTGTAGCACTCGCCTAATCTCCATGCCCTCCTCTTGCACAGGCTCAGGATGAATACAAAGTAAGCACCCTGACCCTGCTGAATCCGGTAGTTCACCTTCTAAACTTCCCAGGTTGACACAATGTATCAACTGTAACAGCGAGCTGCAGTTGGGCAGTTCATGCTCATAGGCAACCTAACTTATTTATTATATTGTTTTTCTCTAACTTGAGTACCTTCTCCAGACCCTCTCTTTTGTCAGACCACCTCTCTTGACATGGATACATAGAAGCCATTACTCTGGAACTGTGTTACTTGTTTCTTTCCACCACCTAATCTGTGATTCTTTTTTTTTTTTTTTTTTTTTTTTTAACACTTTGGCTCTTCTAATTTTGCTACAGTGGAGAAACTGCCTCTTTTTATGTCTACAGTGAGTCCAAAAGATCAGGTTTTGCTTTCTTAGCACTAACTTTTTCAGAAGAGATGGACTGTTGGATGTTCCGTCTTTGTTTAGCATCTTTAATTTCTCTTTCTCTCCTAGATTCTTGTGAACATTTAACATGTTTTAACCTATCAGTTTCAGCATATTTTAGCCAACCAATAAACCTACCCACCTATATTAGTCAGCTTACTTTGGCTAGGACTAAATAGCTAACATACACAACTTGAAGGGGGAAAGATGTGTTTTGACTCACTTTCAGAGGTTTCAGTCAACAGTCAGCTGGGCATAGCAGAGGAAAGCTGCCTCACCTCATACCATCCAGGAAACTCCCAAGAAAATAAGGAAGAGCCGTACAGAGGGTGGACCAGGCATAAGGATATATTCTTCCAGGTCGTGCCTATAGTCAGGTATACGCCTTCGGATCTACTTCCTCCAGCCAGGTCCCACTTCCTAACAGCACATTTAGCTATGAACGCATCAGTGGATGGATGGAGCTATATAGATATAGACACGTATATATGGATGTAAACAGGGTTTGTTTGTTTTTTTCTTTTTCTTTTTGAACTACTGGTGATTGAACCCAGGGGGCCCTCACACTAATCTATGTACCCTACCCTTTTTATTTATTCATTTTTTTATTTTTGAGACAGGGTTTCACTAAGTTGCCTAGGCTTGGTTGGAACTTGTAATCCTCCTACCTCAGGCTCCCTGCGTGCTAAAATTATAGCCATGTGCCACTGCACTGGCTTCATCTAGATCAATCCATTGGTGTGGTTATTGCCCCATGATCCAGTCACCTTCCCAAAGCCCGGCTTCTAAATACCATGTGCCTTTGGGGCTACTTTTTTTTTTTTTTTTTTTTTTGTCTAAACCACTCATTCTTATTTTTAATAGTCTCCTCTAAATAATAACTCTTCCCTCATTTAAAACCAAAACTTAGTGTTATGGTTTGTGTCTAGATGTCCCCCAAAGCCTCATGCGGTTATACGTGGGGACTTTCAGAGGTGGCTGGATCCAGGGTGTGCTGCTGGGATCAAGGAAGTGATGCTGGGATTGATTCATGGTTTGATGCTAGGATTAAGGCTACCCCGAACGGAGTATGAGTGCTACCCGCCCTAAGGGTGGGTAGCCTGGATAAGACATATGGGACAGAAAGAGTCTTGACTTGTTGTTTGCTGCTTGCTGCCTGCCATGAACTATTTTTCCTCTACAGTGCCTCTCTGCTATACCACCCTGCCTTGGAGCCAGCCAACTGAAACCTCTACAAACTGTGAGCCAAATAAACCTTTCCTCCTTTAACTTTGGGTGTTGGGTATTTTGTCTCAGTAACAAAAAAAGTAACTAAGACAGTTGGGTAAGTTCACTGCCTTTCCTTACCATTTACTTACTGCCCTGTGTTTATTTGTCTTTCAAATTCATTCCTTCAGGGGGCTGGGGATTTAGCTCAGTGGCATAGCACCTGCCTGGCAAGCACAAGGTCATGAGTTCGGTTCCCAGTACCAGAAACCACCCCCCCGCCAAAAAAAAAAAAAATTCATTCCTTCAAATGAAATACTTGAGAACCCACTGTGTACTAGGCATTTTACTAGATTCCAGAAGAGCAACAGTAAGCAAAACCTAACAAGCCCTATTCTTCTGTAGTTTATAGTCTAGGAGAGTGAGACATTAGTTAGGCAATGATAAAAATAAATGTAAAAATGCAGTACTTCGGATTTTAAGGTATAGTGAAGGCATGTGGATAGGTGACTTGACCATAAGGAAAGGTCTCTTGAAGAACTGGTGATTAAGAGCTGACATAAGAGTAGGTCAGCTAGGCAAAAAGAAGAGGGAAGAGCTTCCATGTAGAGGAAACAGTATATGCAGAGACCTACATTATTATATAAGGACCACACATTTATTAAAGGCCAGTGTAACTGGCATAGAGCTTAACAAGGGAAGATGGTACAAGATGAAATTGGTGATGTAGCAAGAGTATTTCTTTATAAGTCAAGCTAGAGTGTTTTCCGTTATTGTAAACTCTGTGTATTTGAGGGGACAGGTGGATGATGTTTGTTTTCTTTTGAAAAAGATGGTTTTCTGCTCTGTGGCAAGTGAATGAGAGCTCTTTGAGGGGTTGCTGGCAGACCAGTAGAAAGTTGTGTGGTGGTCCAGTGAAAGGTGATAGTCCGGTATACTGAGGTAGTGATGGCAGTAGCCACAATGTCAATGAAGAAAAGATCTATTCAAAAGATTTACCATTACTGCCTGGCATAGTGGTGCATGCCTGTAATCCCAGCACATGGGAGGCTGTGGTAGGAGGATCACTGCGTATTCCAGGCCAGCCTGAGCTACAAAGTGAGTTCAAGGCCAGCCTGAAGTGAATAGTAAGACCCTGCCTCAAAAAAGGAAAAAAAAGATTTACCACTACTGTATAAATTATATGACATTAAATCATTTGAGAATGGATTTTGCCGCTTAAAGAAGTTTGAAAAATTGATGTTAAAGGCTTTTGCCTAGAAGGAAACTTATGTGTGTCTGCTTGTATGTGATGTTGGGGGCAGAGGTAAAAGAGCTGACAGAATTGAAAGAGGAGAACATTTTTTTTTTTAATCTTCCCTTCATCCAAAAGAAAGACAATAAGGCTAGGCATGGTGGCACATGCCTGTAATCCCAGCACTTGGGAGGGTGATGCAGGAGGATCACCACGAGTTTCAGGCTAACCTGGCCTACGTAGTGAGTTCAAGGCAGCTTACACTACAAAGCCAGACCCTGTCTCAAAGAACAAAAAAATGAGGTACTATGCGCTAATATCTCCCTTTCTTTCTAACTGCCCACTGAGAGAGGGTCAATATAAGTCAGAATTAGACGTTGCTGTTTTTATTAATAGTAAAGTTACTCTGATAAGAACTGTGTTCTTCCTAAGGTCTCCCTCTGCTAAGCAGGACAGTTAAGGTAGATAGACTCTTATCAGCTAGGTTTGGCACCCAGCCTTCTCTTTCTCTCCTCTGTAGGATACATGAATACGTGTATTCCAAAACTTCGATCATGGTGACATGCAAGGGTGATTAAAAGGGCTACCGCCCACATCACTTTCTCAAGCAAAGAATTTCTCAAGTTCTCACCTTCCAACTTTGTTTCATAGAGAAGCAGTGCATACAAGGGATTACAAAGTTTTTGCTCATAAGTTAGTATAGTAATGTGTGTTATTGTATCATTTGACTGTTGATCCTTATATAAACTCTCTGGGTTGAGAATCTTAGAGGGCTGAATGGTGGAAATCAGACACCAAAGATCAATCCAAAACCCCCAACACAAATTAGTCAGACCAAATAGCTGTGTTTTATTTCTGCATTTGCCTCATCTTGTGGGTCTTCTTTTTTCTTACTAGCAGAGGAAATGCTTTGTTCTATCTTAAATGTTTAGTGCAGGTACTTTCCTCTACAAGTAACTTATTTTGTGTTCCCTCCACAGACTAGTTTAGTTAAGTTATTTAAGTTATGCCAGAAAGTTTTGAAATGGGTAGTTAATGCCATAACTTTGGAATTAAGTTAATGCCGTGCCTTGAGAAACTTACAGACTGGAAGTTCACTTCCATTTCCCAACTAAGAATTTTTAGTGTCATCCATAGCTCCCATGATGTTCTGCCCTAAACCAAATGACAGCTTAAAACACTCCCTGTAATTCTACACTAACCCCCCAGATTTTACCGTTTGAGCCTTGGCATTAGTCATTAATTTCCCATAGCTATGTTCTATGTTCATTTTCATCCATTTCCTCTCATTCTCATTCCCTCTCCCTGTCTCAGTTAAAAGCGAAGTAGGGAGATGGATCTGCCTCAAATGCAAAGGGGAGCAAGAGATGGCAGGAGGGAGGGAGCGGGGTAAAGAGAAATAATTACGATGTGTTGTGTGCCTGTACCAGCTCCGCACAAGGAATGTAAACATTATGTACTGCAAGCGTGGACTAATAAAAATGATGAGAAAACAGGCAATTGAATTCCAAATGCTTGCTCTTCCTGGTTTCTTAAACTCCCAGAAGGCACTGGGTTAATTGCTTGAGTACAATCAAGGTAGCTCCTTCTCAGCCCCTGACTGAGCTGTCTGTCACTGGCATGGATTTAGTTAGTGTGACAAGTCCAAAGCCAGATGTCTCCAATTTCAAGGTGGTTGGCGCCACAGTTTTTCTGTGTGAAAGTTTTCAGTTCCAGTCCCTGGAACTCTTATAATTAGCACAGTGTCACCTCCGCCTCCGCAAAGCTGAAATGATACAAGCAAACCTCCCATCTCTCTACTGTACTGCCAACAGATTGTTATACAATTTGGCTCACCTTATTTTTCCCAGCCAAAAACAGAACAAGAACTTCGGTTTCTAGGGAAAATGGTTTTCAAAGAAAGCATGAGAAAAGCAAACTTTTATGCTTAGACAGGCCACTAGTCTGTGTTGGCTATCTGTAAGCTTCAGACTAAACTCAGCTGGGAGGAATCAAGACGCTAATTGGGGCACTCAGGACCTTTAGAAGAGAATTTTATCTATGTGTAGTGGTGCTTTTCTAGCATATGACACGTTCTTTCTCTTGGGCAAATGTTAGAAATTTTCTTTGGTGGTAGACTCAGCTATTGAGATCCCTAGTGTTTTCTTTCTTTTCCTGTTGTCTCTCTTGCACGTTTAAAGCTTAATTTCTCTTTTGAACCCCGTGTTCTTGGCAATTGTGTACTGAAGGACTGAGCTCTGGCTAGTGATAGAACCTTCCCTCCCACTTAAGAGAAGAGTGTTCCACATTTGTAGTAGGCAGTTCTGCCCTTCCTGACTGTCCTGCACCTGTGTGTATCCTCATGATCCTATCTTATAGTGAAATTTCTCTTATCTATGAGTCCTACTTCTTAGAGTCTTTCTTCTTTTCATTTCCCTTTGCCTCAGCTGGAGAACAACCCACAACAGATTCCTTTAAGGCTTGTGGTTCCATAGGTGCCAATATGCCCTTTTCAGTGTGTTCCTCAAAACCTTGCCTTTCTTCAGTGTTTATTTCCAGTGGCAGCAGACACATCCCCCTTACCTACTTATGTCAAAATGGTTTATGTCTCTAGTGTCTTCTTCTCTTTCAGGTAGCCCCAACTGACTTGTTAACCTGCTTAAGGTGGATCTTTTTCTTTCTACCTCATACAAAGTTGACATTGCTTAGATAAGAATACCTTGCAGGCTCTGAGATGACTATTTTCATATACTCCAGAATTCTTTCTCTCAATTTTTCTTTGGCCTCTATTACTGTCCTTGAATAAACAACAAAATAGCTTGTTTTTCCTTAGTTCTATCACTTACTTAAAGGGCGGGTTAGGGTTAGGGTTAGCATGCTAATGTGAATTTCCTTTTCCTTCCAGTACCATTTGGCCTAACTTTTTTAGTTTTCCTTGGAAATCTTCCCTTTCCTCTAGCTTAATCTCGTTGTCTGGGTTCTTTGGTTGGTTGGTTGGTTGGTTGGTTTTTTCATTTTCCCACTTAGCCACTGAGGTGTTTTTATTTAAGTCTAATCCTGTTTTTCTTTACTTTTTGAACAGACGTGATTCCTAGAGAGGCATTGTATTTTTCTGAGTTATTAAGGCTTTACTGAGACTTTTCTAGTAATCCAAAAACATTATTTACCCCATAGTAAGGACTCCATTTTTCTTTATCTTTCCAGTGATTTAAGCCCATCATCTAATTGTGGTTGACTCTACAGTCTGCTCAGGGATGTATAGCCAGGGCCAACATGAAATCACACCGGGAGGAACTGAGTGTAGAACCTTGTTGACAAACCACATAAGTCCACAGGTTAATCATTGTATAGTTTCCTCCTTGAGATGGGATGAAGAGTGAAATTTGGGGCCATTGAATGTGTGCCTTCTATTAACGACAGTGTATATCATTAAACACTGGAGCTTCCTATGTTTTCATATGGACCTAGCAGCTGCTTTCAGCAGTCCAACCTGGCAAATGTGATAAAGGATAAAAGATTATTGCATCAGCAGATGCCTAAAATGCCCAGCTCTTTTGAGGTGAGCCTTTCCTAGAATCAAAGACTGCTTCCTGAAAAGCCCCCAAAGAATGCAAGCACCAACACAACGCACCAAAGTTTCTTTTTCTGTGATCCATTCTGTGCCTGTGCGAATGGATTTAAGGGGCTCTTCTCCACTTCTGGTCCTGAACAACGGAGAAGCAATCAAAGGAGACAGGTAAATTAATGTTGAAGACAGACTGCATAGCTTTTACCTGAGCATAAAATTGGGCTCCCTGTTCTTTGTCCCTTAAACTAAACTT